AATATGTGGTTTCAGTATTACCCACATGGCCTAGAAAATTTAACTCACAGGTGGTCCATTACCAATAGAATGAATGTGTCAAAAGAGCATGTCAAAAGGGACCGCCGAAGTTCAATCATTTAATCAGAAATTATGTTACCAGGACCAAGGTCGGACTCATGTTCCTGCCTGCAGGTAAATACTCTCCTAGAGGGCCACCCAAAACCTAGCTACAGGGCTGTGTTGGGTATTTGATTTTTATTCCCATTTGAGCATCTTTCCTTACTACTGAACACTCATTATTCTACATGAATCCCCCTTGGGGGGGTGTTCTTTTGGGTCACCAGCCCCTGGCATATCACAGTGTGAACCATTCTGCTCTGCAGTTCTCTACGTGTGGCTGAGCAGTCCTCACTGCTCTCATCTGCCTCCTCAACCCTGCATCCTAACGTCCCTCTTACGAAAAGATTTGAAGCTTCAAAAACCTTCCGGACGTGAGGAGGCTTTTTGGTAGCTGCTGACCTTTTGCGTTGGGAGCTGTTTTTGCACTACCTCTTCCTCCTCCCACAAGTTTGTGAGCCCACAGTCTCACCGGCCGACCGACGACTGAGCATGAGCTCTGGGGGTGGAGCTGGAATGTTGAGCTTTCCAGTTGATCCTGACCATTGTGGTATTTTCCTGGAAAAAATCCAGTACAGAGATTGAACGCCAAACCACAGAATGTGTCTGATTTAACTTCCAGACACTGTTGTCATTGTAGTTAAGTGGTTATTATTAGCTTGTTATTAGCATTTTGGATGACTGGTATTATATGTCCATTGTTTAACTTTCTTTTATTTCAGAAAAATTGAAACGTCTAAAAGCAGAGTGGAAGTGTAACAATCCCCCACATCCCCATCTGCTTGCTCGAGCAGTTGCCCACTCATGGCCCATCTTGTTCTAGCTCTGTGCCCACCTGCTCTCCACCCCTTGGATTATTTTACTTTCATTTTATTTTATTTTATTTTATTTTATTTTATTTTATTTAAGTTTTGTTTATTTATTTTGAGAGAGAGAGAGGGAGAATGTGCACACACAAGCAGGGGAGGGACAGAGAGAGAGGGAGAGAGAGAGAATCCCAAGCAGGCTCTGACAGCACAGAGCCCGACACGGGGCTCAATCTCACCCACCATGAGATCGTGACCTGAGGTGAAACCAAGACTTGGACACTTAACTGACTAAACCACCCAGGTGCCCCCCTTTGGATTTTTTTTTTTTAATGTTTATTTATTTTTGAGAGAGAGAGGGAGACACAGAAGCAGAAGCAGGCTCCAGGCTCTGAGCTGTCAGCACAGAGCCCGACACGGGGCTCAAACCCATGAACTATGAGATCATGACCTGAGCCCAACTCGGATGCTCAACTGACTGAGCCACCCAGGCACTCGAACCCCTTAGATTATTTTAAAGCAAATCCCAGACATCAGAGCACTTCATACAAAAATATTTAGTACATATCTCTAAAATACAAGTGTTCTTTTAAAAAAAAAAAGAACCACATTATCATCACACCTAAAATTTTTTCTTAAGATTTCTTCAAATATCCAGTAAACTGATAAACTGATAAACTCCAATGAAGCTGGAGTGTTCATTCCCCAGGGTCTCAGGCACTGTTTTTGTAGGTGTTTTTCCAAATCGTGATCCAAATAAAATTCATATTTTGATATGTTTCTTAAGTATTTAAAAAATCCCTCCCCATCTATTTTTCCTTACAATTTATTTGCTAAAAAATGGAGTCATTTTTTTCTCTACATTTGAAAAGGGTAGTGAAGTACCATATTACTAGGACCATTTCAAAATCACGATGAAGGGTTCTACATTAAGAAAAACCCGCAGCATATGAGAGAAATTTATTTCACGTCTGATTAAAAGCTGCTTCCTCCTCGAGGCCCTTCCTGGCTACTTTGTGGATAGTTCTGTCATCCCCCAAACCCTTGGCGCTTTACGTCCTGCTGTCTTATTCTCTTTTTCCTCCTCAACGCTCGGCACTGCCTCATTCACTCTGTATTAATATATTTTACTGTGTGATGTCTGCCTCCTCTCTGGAATGTGAGCTCCGTGAAGGCAAGAGTTTTGTGTGGGTTGTTCTCTGCTGTATCCCCAGGGCCTGGGTCACGAATGAAGACACAGAAAGGCAGGGCAGAAACAGGATGAGGACGCTATGTAGGAGAAGAGCAGACAGACACAAAGTAGCAACGTGTCTCCATGCACGTCACCTTTGGATTTATGGTACCCACTAGAATCAGGGACCCCTACGGAGTTCTCTGAGACGCCCAGACGGTGAATATCTCTTGCTTGTCACTCAGGGATGGAGGGACCTCTCTGTAGCTGCTGACTGGACCTCGTGGCCCCTGCAGTCTCAGGCTCAGGCCCGGTTAACCACAGGGTGGTCTGACCAGTTTTATCAACATAGCATGTGCTGTTTGGAGTACGAGGCTGCACCTTTCAGGTCATCACCAACCGTGAGCAAAGATGCTTCCAACAAGGATGGTAGTCTTAGTTCAGCTGGATTCAGAACATGTTTCCCAACCTGTAGCGTGGTTGGGATCCCAGTCAGACTGGGAAACCCCACGCTGTGGGAACTCACTCAGGAACTGCCTGAGTGAGTCACCACTGTGCTGCTAGCAGTGTGACATCAGCCAGGTCCCTCGGCTGTACCTTAGTGTTCCCATCTATAAAATGGGGATAATACCCTTTTACTTCTGCAGGGTCGTCGTGAGTCTTTTCTGCTGCCCAGTGAGGTGGGGATGTACGTGCAAATCCTCCAGCAGCCTGCATGAGAAGGCAGCATTCTGGTCACTTCAGGTGACGTGGGGGTAGCAGGTGACCGAGGAGCCAGGGAGGGCCCACGCTAACTAGGGGAAGGAGTGTGGCTGAATCTGGGGATCCCCTCACCTGCTTTAGGAGAGGGAGAGGAGATAAATTTTGTCTGGTGTGGCTGTGTGAGGCTGACATCTCTTGCCACCCCTCCCCTTCTCGGGTCTTGGCATCCTCAGCAGAGAATCTTGGAACGGAACGGGGAGACAGGAAGCCCCACACTGTGCTGACTGGATTCCAGGGCATTGTTCTGAGAGCATTTCTAGCTTTGGTTATGCGGTTCTTGCCACAACTGACAGAGTATATCACTGGAGCAGCTCAACCCATTCCTAGCCTGGGCATGTGCTTTTTCCAGGCGATTATGAGGTGTGCCATGAGGGGAGTCCACGGCAGTGATGAGGAGGCCAGTCGGCCCCTCCCTGCTGTCCCGTCATGCCTTGGGGAACCTCGTAAGTGTCTCCATGGATAGCACTGTGTGTTTCTTTCTCTTGGGTAGAGATTACAAGTTTTTATTACTGCTGGTACCAGACTAATAGATTTAGAATATTTTCTGGGTTCTATGAAATCCATAAAAGACCCCTAACTTTTTTGTGTTTTTACTGTATGTATCTATGTGCTGTCCAATATGGCGGCCACTAGCCAGAGGTGGCTATTTAAGTTTAAATCAAATCAGTTAAACACAAGTTTAAATCCAGTTCCTCGTTCAGACCAGTCAGTTTCAAGAGGTCAATCAGCAGGTGGGGCTAATGGCCCCTGTATTAAGTGTGGATTATGGGCAGTTTCCAGCATCAGGAGAGAGTTGTGTGGAACAGCACTGCAAACATCCCTACTCAAAGCTTGATGGGTGTGGGGAGGGAACTTCAGAGCACTCAGGAGAAAGATGAGTGGCAAACAAAAGATAAGTTCTTGTAAGTTTTACCTCATGTTCTTCTCAAGGTAAAACTCTTCTCAAAGGAGATACTTCAGGGGAAGACTTGAGTTTGCCTGTGTCGGCACATTGCATGAGAAGGTTTCCCCCCAGAGCGCACTCAGCTGTCCAGCTGCTCCTCACTCTTTAGCACATTATCAGGGACACAAGGTGCCCCCCGCCTAGCCAGGGAATGGCTCCTCCTGGCCTGACTCCATACTGTGCTGGAGGGTGCCTATGGGAAAAGCATGAGATTGGAAACTTCCGTAGTGCTTTGTGACTTCTGAGGTAGTAGGCGAGAAAATTCTTAATCACTCTTAATTTGCTGTTCATGCTTCTTACACTCAAAGAAGGAAAAAGAAACCCTTGGAGAAGCAGATGTTTTTCTAGACTGTGGATTGCATCCTTTTCTGTCCTACCGAGTGTGGTCTTAGTAGCTGAGCCAGAACCAGGTGAGGCAAAGGAGACACCCAGGGCACAGATTTAGGGAGATGCTTGGCTCAGGTGCCGACCTTGCACTTACAGGGGCCCGAGAGAGATTTTTCTCCTTAAATTTTGCATCGTGGACACCTGGCTTGCCTCATCCTGGTCCTGTCTAGGCTGGCCCTATCTGAGCTCGTTTATCACTCACTCTAGATGACGCACCATGTGGTTCTAGGGATTCTGGACTTGTACATAGATGCAGCTCTGTACTATGCACCTCTTCCCTAGCTGGAACCCCTCAGGTAGGGGCTGTACCTCTTTGATCTTTGCATACGTGGTCCAGAGGGGTGGACAGATGAGCGGCTCTTGGATCAATGAGTGAATCAGTCCACCAGCGATCAACTCAATGAATCAGAGTCCAGAACTCTCCTGACATAGACTTTTCCATGAACGGTTCAGAGAACATCCTGGATTGTCACTCTCCAGGCTCCACAGCTGAGTCCTCTCTGCACACGGAGAAGCTGAGACCTCTCATCAGTGTGGCTGAGGATGGGCACCGTCCCCCGCTTGTCCTTGCCCGGAGCTTCAGTTGCTTTCAGTATCAGGCTGTTACTGTGCTGGAAATCTCTGACAACAGGCCGCCCCTCTTCCACCCCACTTCCTCCGGAGTCCGTGTCACAAGCCTGTGTCACACCACAGCCAGACTGTCCCGGGAGCACGCGGCTGGGCCTCCTGCGCCGTGATTTGGGGGAGGAAAGGGGTCGCGAATCAACTGCCTGGGCCTTGGAGGCTCCTTTGTGAACTCTGTGTTACATTCTTCCCCTCTCTCCTCCCGCAGAGCGTACTGAAGAAGAGGGACCAAGTGCAAGCAGAGTACGAAGCCAAACTAGAAGCTGTGGCCCTGAGGAAGGAAGACCGCCCCAAGGTCAGGGGAGCCCCTGAGGGAGGGCTGGGCTCCACAAGGCTGCAGTCGCCTCGCTGGCGCTGAGTGAAGCCTTGTCCCCAGATCCACACAGCTAAGGTGGTCAGTGCCAGCTGGGCTGTGTTCACACCGCCATTTTTTCCTGTTTGTTCTCTTTGATGTCTTATTTCTGGAAGTTTCTTTTTCTTTTTCTTTTTTTTAATTTTATTTTTTTAAATTTACGTCCAAATTAGCATATGGTGGAACAATGATTTCAGGAGTAGATTCCTTAGTATATTGCCCCTTACCCATTTAGCCCATCCCCTACAACCCTCGGTAACCCTCAGTTTAATTCTCCATATATGAGTCTCTTCTGTTTTGTCCCCTCCCTGTTTTTATATTATTTGTTTTTCCCTTCTATGTTCATCTGTTTTGTCTCTAAAGTCAGTCTCCTATGAGTGAAGTCATATGATATTTGTCTTCTTTCTGATCTTGACTAATTTCACTTAGCATAATATCCTCTAGTTCCATCCATGTAGTTGCAATGGCAAAGATTTCATTCTTTTGATTGCAGAAATACTCATTGTATATATATGCATGGCAGTCTTCTTTATTATCCTTATCCATCATAGGTCATTTACTCTTTCCATACTGTGCTATTGTTGATAGTGCTGCTATAAACATGGGGTGTGACATCCCTGAAACAGCAATTCCACTTGGAAGCATGAGGGGGGTTGAGTTTTTGCGTTTCCCATGGTTTTTTTTTTTTTTTTTTTTAAGACTTTCAGCTTGCTTGCCATTCAAGGCATTTCCTGTCTGTAAAATGGGATTGACGAGAAAGGAAGAACAGTCTAGATCAGTGTTCTCCGAAGTGTGTTTTGCTCATCCATAAGCTGTCCATAATCCATGACAGGAAAGGTGCAGAAGCCGAGAGTCAGCTAGTTTTATAGCACAGACACTTGTTGAAGCTTGAGCATGAGTAGTTGTCAACTAAGCTCATGTAGCAAACTACACTAGTTATAT